TCTTTGTTGGTTGCTGGGAAGTTGGTGATGGGTGGGGGGAGGGAGAGGGGGGAGAGAAAGAAAGAAAGAAAAGAAAACCACAACCCTTTAAATAATACAAGAAAACCAAACCTGATTTACATTAGCAAAAGTGAAAACAGTAAAATGGGTGGCTACAAAACTTTGTAAACACTCTTCTTCCTCCCCTCCCCTGGGAAAACAAAACAAAACAAACTTAAAACCAGAAACTGTAACATGCTGTCAAGAAATATGTCAAACCACAAAAAAAAAAAAAAAACACCCAAAAACCTACCCCCCCAAAAGAGCGCTCAACAGAAGCTCTGCACCACCTCGTTTTGTCAAGAGCTGGCTGCCCCTTTCCCTGGTGGCTGGGCCAGCTCCTTCCACACCTCGCAGCTGTTCTGGAGCTTTACGTGGCTGGTAAAGAGGCCCTGACTCAGGCGGGCGGAGGTGGTCTGCACGCCTGTCACGTGCCCCTCACTCTCACTCCTGTCTCCAGGAGTGCTCTCCGCCTCTGGCCACATGTCCCTCTCAGACCCCTGTTGCATTCTGCAAATCCTCAGGGCCCTGGCTCTATGGAGACAGTGAGGCTCATACAGAATATGTGCAAAATGATTTTTTTTTTTTTTTTTTTTTTACAAGCAAAGTTGAAAGACACCCGTTTGATATAGGGTCCTTTTGGTGAGGGCTACCGCAGGAAGCTGAGGTTCTCTTTCATGCCCAAAGGCGACTGTTGGTTCCTCATGCAGGGCCTGAAACACAGCCAGAGGGTAGGCGGCTCTTGCTCTCCCTCCCTGATCCTGCCACCTCCTCCTCACCACTCTACCTCTGCGGACACAAACCGGGGTTACTGCTTTTCTTGCCCCCCTGAAAAGCTGGCTCTCCACACCACCCAACTCTGCGTCTTGTCCCAACAGAAATGAATGAAGACGCTGTTCCGGTTAACTCCAGGTCACGAGAACAGTGAGGCACTTCTGAAACGAACCCATTAGGAACATTGAAACAAATAAAAAACCCAGCATCTCCCCAGCCCTAGCTACTACAGGCTGCTGACGTAGACCCTGCTGTCCTGGAGTTCCTCATCACTCATCCGACACTCCAGGGCAGGCCCGCAGCTGGTATCCTCTTCGCCCCCTGCTCTGTCCTGCCCTGGGTCCCTGCAGTTAACGAAAGGTAATAGGGTGCCATTGGGGTTCTGCTGGGCGTCTCCACTGAGGATGTTGTCAGCCGCACTCTCCATCTCCTCAAGCGTCATGTCGCAGGCGTCGGCCAGCTCCTGGGTGGTGGCCTCGATAAACTTGGGATCTTGAGCAAACTGCCCCAGTCCTTCCGAAATCAAGACCTGACGAGGAAGGGGAGAAAGGGCCATAAAGAAGAACCAAAGAGGGAAATTACTATGGAGCGCAACACCTCTCTCTCGGGCTAAACATGGGGCTTCTGATTTGTCACTTGTACAAGTCTGTGTGTATGTGAGGCACATAGTGTGTGTGTTGTGGGGTGCTGTGTGTGTGGTAGGTGTGGATGATCTGTATAGTGTATGCGTGGTGTGTGTGTTGGGAGGGGCGCTCATAGAAAAGCAGTAAAGATTGAACCGTGGCCAAAGGAATGAAGAGTGCGTAGGCTGGAATAGGGAGCCCCCTGGGTGGTGTAAATGGTTAACATGTTCAGCTGCTAACCCAAAGGTTGGAGGTTTGAGTCTACCCAGAAGAAAGGTCTGGTGATCTGCTTCCAAATAATCAACCACTGAAAATGCTATGGAGCACAGTCGTACTCTGACACACATGGGGGTTGCCATGTGTTGGAATCCACTTAACAGCAACTAGTTTTTTGGTAAAAGTCAGCTAAGAGGAGTTTTGGCTGGGGCATTTGAAAACTGTTAATATATAAAAATAGGACTCACTAAGCAGCAGCATGGCTTTGCTGTGATGTTTCAGGGAGGCCCTAAGCTGCCCCTTCTCTTGTCTGCTTCTCTGGCACCTCAGATGTTTTTTCCATATTATTCTTTCCCAGAAGCCTTCATTTTCCTTTGGTGAAACTGAACTTGTGCCCACTGCCCATGGTCAGCTGATTGCCTTTCTGGGCCTGAGCATCTCTCCCCTAGGTGCAGTATCCTTTCTTACGCCTGACTCTGTTTCTGTTTGGAAGGGCCAAGCAGGTGATCCCCCCAAAGTTTCCCCATTCTTCCTATCAGCTACTTTAATGACTGGCTTCTGATTCTAAGGGGAAGGTTGGGGGCTGAAAAATTCAGGGTGGCTTGGGACAGCTTCTCCCAGATATCTGTCTCATTCCCCTACCACATTACTCTTTATCTCTTTAACATGCTTTATTTCCCTCCATTGCGCATACTCCCATAATCCTTTCCTGACATGTTCAACATGGTGAGTCCAGTCACACTCACAGTGACCCCGTGTGTGTCAGAGTAAGGTTTTTAATGGATGCTTTTTCAGAATAGATTGTCAGCCTTTTCTTCTGAGGTAACTCTGGGTGGACTCATCTAAACTTCTGGTTAGCAGCCGAACAAGTTGACCAGTTGTACCACCCAAGGACTTCATGTAAGTTCACTTACTGTCTGTCTCACCTCACCTCAACATGAGCTCCGGAAAGCAGAGGCTGTTTAGTTCTTAGCTGTATCCCTGCAGCTACAATAGCGTCTGCACATTGGAGGCACAATTGTGGACTGACCAAGGGCTAACCAAGGCCAAGTGAAGTATCACAGAGTAAGTAGAGTGACAGGGGTCCTTAGGACTCCCTGCCTCCTACACGATAGCCTAATATCTGGATAGATCAACTCTTCTAGTCTGTGTCCATAACCATAGGGTAAGTACTGCACTGCTAACCAAAATGTCAGTGGTGCAACCCTACCAGCTGCTCCTTGGAAACTCTATACAGGGTCTCTATGAGTTGAAACTGACCCCACGGCATTTAACAACAAACAACATAAGGACTTTAGAGGAAGACCATTCTCATTCTGGAAAGCTCTGCTGGGAAGGTCTTCCTCAGAAAAGCTGAAGGCAGCCGGCCTGCAGGTTGGTCTCCTTGCTCTAGTCTGTACTTAAAGCCTCCTGCGCCGAGCTACCCTTCCCTCCTCACAAACCCTTTACAGGTGTGAGCGGCTGACTCCAGCTTTTGAGGCCATCTTTCCCCCATCAATTCTCATATGACAGGTTTTCCCCCTTAAGATTGATTTCAGTTTGTCAACCCCCAAACCAAAACCAAACCCGCTGTTGTCAAGTCGACCCTGACTCACAGTGAACCTATGGATAGAGTATAATTGCTTCATAGGGTTTCTGAGGCTGTACGTCTTTATGGGAGTAGATAGTCTCATCTCTTTCCCATGGAGTGACTGGTGGGTTAGAACAGACGTCCTTGCAGTTAGAAGTTCAACGCTAAACCCATAGCGCCACCAGTGCCCCTTCAATTTGTCAGCCCGCTAAAACAAACTCATTGCCACTGAGTCAGTTCCCACTCATAGCGACCCCATAGGACGGAATAGAACTGTCCCTTTGGGTTTCTGAGACTGTAAATCTTTACTGGAGCTGACAGCTTCATCTTTCTCCTGTGGAGCACTGGTGAGTTTGACATTGTACTTAGCAGGGCAATGTGTGCCCCACGACACCACCAGAACTCCATTGGTTAAAAGTCTCCTCCTCAAATGTGGCTTCAGAGTTGAGCTTGATGCTCAGATCAAGGGAGAGTGCAGGGGAACTGAAAGTTCTCTCGTGGTTCTTCGCCATGCTGTGTATTGGAATCATCTGAAGAGTTTTTTGGGTTCTTTTAAATCAATTTAATTAGCCACAGGCTTCCAAAGCTCCGCATGTGATTCTAATGAGCAATCAGAGCTAAGAACCACTGACCTTAACCCTGTGTACAAATGTCGCCCAAGTTCACACTGGACTTGGAGCGGTCCAGCACACCTCTCTGACTTGTATCACTGTCTTTACAATGGACCTCTCCCAGGTTTTTCTCAAGGTCCCTTGGCCTGGAGTAGGGATATACTGCTCAGTACTTGCTTTTCCCCTTTTTTCAGGGACTGCCCCAGCAGAAGTCAGTAACATTTTGCATGCTGGTGTGGCGCTGTGGGCTAATGCCTCAGACTGCAAAGTCGTTTGAACTGCAACGTCAGTGGTTCAAGCTCACCAGCTGCTCCTTGGAGACCCTATACAGGGTCGCTATGGGTCGGGATCGATTCGACAGCACTTGACAACAACAATCTCCCACAGGCACTTGCTTCTCCATTCTCCACACAAAGTTCTCTTACTGCCCCTGACCTTCCCCAACTCTGTCTGCTGGGAACCACGTACCGCTTCCACCAGACTGCTGGCACTGCCGTGGAACTGCCTCCCTGGGGCCCCGGTCTGGCTGGGCACAGTGAGGGAGACAGGCCGAGCTCTCCGGATGGTGCTGTCACCCCCACCACAGCTGGGACTCTCTTCAGACCAGGAGCTGCAGTGCAAGGACGGGGAGCTGCTGTTGAGTTTCTCGCTGGACTCGGCGCCTTCCAACCTCAGGGTGGGAATGGGCTGTGGGGGCCAGCCGCAGCTGCTGGGGGTGGCACACGGCCTGGGGAATGTGGTGGGGGAATGGCTTCTCTGGAGAAGGGGGCTCAGGCCTGCCACTGCCAATGCCTGTGGACACAAAAGAGCATGAGTTACTGGGGATAGTGGCAGGTCCAAAGAAAGGCAGGCCTCGGCCTTCTAAGCAGCTATTGTTTCCAGCTAGCTCCACCTGGAATTCACTTCCTGACCACCCCATTGTTCCCACTCATCTGAATCCAACCTCATTAAGACCCAGCATAAGTTTCAATGATCCCAAAATATACTTGTGGTCATCCCAGTCTGAAGTGATTCCCCTCCTCTGCATTCAGAAAACTGGTGGAATCAGGATCATCTGGACTTTCATGTGGGTTTTACCACCTATGCATGTTCTCAGTCTTGACTTTCTCACTGAAGAACGAGGCCTGGGTTACCCATAATACGGGCATACGGATGCCTTCTCTAACTACGTTGCAGGGTAGAGGTATATTCAAGCTAAATAAGGTATGTGATCAAGGACATCCTAAAAGACCAGGCAAAGAGAGTAAGGATTGCAAGGATGGCACAGAACGGGGCAATGCTTCCTTCTGTTATGCATAGGGTCGCTTTGAGTTGGAACCAACTGGATGTCACCTAGCAACAAAAATAAAGAGCTGGATAAAGCCGGTATCTGTTGTTTTAACTTTGACAAGGAGTTCACCCATTTCTAATGTCCTGACAGATTATCCTGACTCATCAATTAAATCTCACAGTCTTGAAATCAAACAATAGACAGGTTTATGCCCTCTGCCCCCAAATTTTCTTAAGGACCTGAGGGCAGGGATCTTAACTGCTCTAGAGGCTTGCTCTTGGCAGAGGCTCAGGAGCATTAGCTGTGACGCGTTCATGGGCAGAGAAAGCTAGACTGCCCCTTGTGGTGGCAGGGAGAATGGGGACCTTGCATAGTTTGAAGGGTAGGAGAACAGCACAAGGACAGAAATGAACAGATTGGTAAATCCATTTCTAGAAATCTTTGACAAGAGTACATACAGTGTCCCTATGTCCTGCCATCCTCCTCCGTCCACTGTTCTTGATGGCCTTCAGCCTGGGGTTCCTGAAGCCCCCAGAGAGCTGAGGAGGGTTTCAGGGGGCAGCTTGTAGGCTACTTTCAGTATTTCAGAAAGTCCAGTGGAAGTCATATACAATAAGACAATGCAAACAGGTGAAGCAAAACAGTACATTTCTTTGAGCTGGATATAGTATCCATTTAGCCAACCCACACTGGCTTCTTATACTGATTACAAGCTTTCATTGGCAGCTGGAAGTCTTTGGGTGTAAAAATGACATTTTAATGGAGTTTGTAATTAAGGCTGTGAAAAGGCTGTAGGACTCTGGTTTAGACCTTCATTTGCTGGAGGTAATAGACTGCTCTCAGATAATTCTTGAAGTTTCCACTACTGTTATTAGTTTCTGTTGAGTCAGTTCTGACTCACAGCAATCCTATGTATAACCAACAAAACACTGCCCAGTCCTCCTGCGCCATCCTCACAGTTATGCCTCATTTTCACTAGTTCTTGTGTGGGACTGCAAAGTTGGCTTGAACCACACGGTTGGTGGTTCAAGCTCACCAGCTGCTCCTTGGAAACCCTATAAAGGGTTGCTATGGGTTGGAGCTGACTCAACGGCACTTAACAAGAAGAAGATACCAAGAACATGTTTGATACTGGTGTCTTGGATGCTACTATCTCAGTTGGAGATACCTCATCTATTGAGTTCCCTGGACCTGTTTTCCTTGGGTACCGTCCTTTTCCCTGGCCATGTTGCTGGCAGGTTCTTTGATCATTTCTGTATTTCAGTGGGAAGCAGCTAAATTTCTAATGCTAGGTCTGAGCACATCTGCCTGAGTGCCCTGCAGTGTGAGCCCAGTGTCTGGGGAGTTGGATGACATCCAAGCCTCTGAGAAGAAAGCTTAGGCAGAGTCCTGGAGCTGCTGACCCTTCAGCATCACATGAGGAGTTTCTGCTTACCAGTGTCTTCTAGGTTTCTATGCTGCGGTTACAGACTGTGTCAGGGCTCACGCCTGAGTGGGATAAGTGGGCAGCCCTACTGGGGGGCTCTTTGGGCCATGGGTAGGATGCAGCAGTAGTCTGAGAAAGCGAAGACTGACTGATGTCTTAATCATGGGATTGTTCAGTCTGCTAAGCATTGGCCAGCGGCCTGTCTGTCAGTATGGGTCACCTGATGATGAACCAGATGTAAGGGCAGCACTGTCTTCTGAGACATATCTCCGCCTTGATTCTTCTGTCGCTTCAGACATTCCAAGTGGAAAGAGGCCCTTCGACCTGCAAAGTCAGGCAAAGAAGGGGGTCAGGGACAGATACAAGGGCATTTTGTCTGAAAAGGCTCATTTCCAGAGTGTGTGTGCACGGGGATGGGGGGCAGGAAGTAGTGTTAGTTACTCCAGCTATACAAGGGTGGGTCAAAAATTTCCCTCACTCTGGCTGGCAAATTTATTTTAATCAACAAATCCATCAGTTTGCAACATAATCTCCTTGCTTTTCAGTATGCTTTGTCTGTCAACAAGCTTTTGTACTCCCTTATCAAAAACATTTTAGGCTGAGCTGCGAGCCACGAATGCACCGCTGTCTTCACTTCTTCGGCAGAGGTGAATCTTTGTCCTTAAAGGGCTGCTTTCAAAAAACAAAGTTTTTGCAGTGCCAACAGACATGCAGGGTCACACAAGATCACAACACCCTTGGTTAGCAGTTGAGACTTCAGCTCCTCAGTGAGCATCTCAGTGAAATGAGCACTGTTGATTGTTGGAGCTTTTTCCTGATAGTGTTCTAGAAAACTGACAAAATCCCAGAAAACTGTAAGTAAGCATTGATTTGCCAGCTGATGGTTGACTTTTGAACATTGCTTTGGTCAGCTATTGAGGATGTTTCCATTCCATATTCTGCCGTTTACTCTCAGGATATTCAAGGGCCCTGTGATCTTGCATGATAATGCACATCCTCACATCTCTGCCCACACTGTGGATACTCTCAAAACACTTCCTTTTGAGGTGCTAAAGCATCCTCCCTATAGTCCTGATCCATAGGACTTTCATCTGTGTGGTCCCCTGAAAGCAGCCCTTTGAGGATGAAGATTCAGCTCTAAGAAAGAAGTGAAGACAGCGGTACAGTCGTGGCTCACAGCTTAGCCTAAAACATTTTAAAATAATGGGAATACGAAAGCTTGTTGACAGATAGACAAAGCATATTAAAATGCAAGGAGATTATATTGAAAATGACATTTGTCTTTTCTAAAAGTTGATCAAAATAAATTTTGCAGCCAGAGTGTGACTAATTTTTGACTTACCCTCGTACTTCTTTTTGAGCTTAGCTTGGTTTCTAAGCCCCATCGTGTAGGATATGTGCAAGTCCCACCCCAGCAAATCTGACTCTGGGAACTGTATCTTATCACCTGATTCTGGAAACTGTTTCTCACCACCTAGGAATCTCATCACCCACTTGGGTTGAGGTGGCTGAAGCCAGGCCACAGGTGTTTCTCACTCATCCCCAAGTGCCTTGACCAGTGTCATCTCAGGGGTGACCAGTGATCACATCTGGAGAGTGAGGCGTATGTTTACCTAGTGAGGCAGAGCGGAGAAAACCCCTCTTTGGAGATTGACGGATGTCCCTCTTGTCCTCCTCTGGGGGCGTCAGTTGTCTGTTTTCATCATCCTGATAGGCGAGCCTGAAACAGAGAACTCCCGGGGCTTGTTCCTGGGGGCAGGAAGTACCACCCCCTTGGGATGCCTACCTTGCCTCTTTCCTTAGTACAGGGAACCCACACTCAGCACTTACAAACAAGGGCTGGGGAAGAAGCAGCAGATACTTGTCACCCCAAGAAATTCTGCCCTGCTTTCTGGCATCACACATGTCTTCCCACCCTGCTGGTTGGCAGTTTCCAGCTTGTGTTGTATAAGCCATGTGGTTCTGATTTGAAACAGAGAAGGCATCCTTGGGTCAGAGATGTAAAAAACTCTAGGCTTACAGGTTCTTTTCAGGAATAATCTACATTTTTACATGTACAGAGATAAAGGGGCTTCAAAAAGTTCATGGACAAATGGAATGAAGAGATAATGGAATATTTCTATGACTTTTTTTGAAGCTTCCTTGTATGTGCTGAAAAATTTCCCTTCCAACAAAGGTCCATTCATGGTCCCATAGGATTATAATAACCAAATCAAATCCACTGCCCTTGATTTGGATTCATAGGGACCCTCTAGGACAGAGAACTGCTGCATAGGGTTTCTAAGATTGCAAATATTTAGAGAAGTAGACTGCCTCTTCTTTCTCCTGAGGGGCCCCTGGTAGGTTTGAATTGCCAACCATGAAGTTAGCAGAACATAGCTTAAGTCATGGCACCACCAGGGCTCATCAAGTTATGAGTTCAGAAATGCCTACAGAAGAACAGGACATGGCAGATAATACTTTGCTAAGTACTGTTAATACTAGCTCTTTAGGTCCTGTGTCTGCCCCACCTGGGGAGGATGTCCCGGTACCCATCTGCAGCTGCCTGCCCCACCTGGGGAGGATGTCCCGGTACCCATCTGCAGCTGCCTGCCCCACTTTGTTACTCTCAGACAGGGACTGTGCAGGTGAAACAGGAGCTGCAGAGGGGGAGACCCCCTTCTATCAGGGCACCCTGTGTATCACACCCCTTCCTGATAAAAACACTCAACAAAGAGGAATAGAAGGGAAATTCCTCAACATAATTAAGAACATTTATTCAAAACCAATGGCCAATAGCACTCTTGAGAGAAAGTGAAAGCATTTTCCTTACAAATGAGAACCAGAAAAGGATGCCCTTTGTCACTACTCCTACTCCTATTCAATATTGTGCTGAAGTCTTAGCCAGAGTTACAAGGCAAGAATGGGAAATTTATTTAAGGCATTGAAATTGGCAAAGAAAAAGTAAAACTCTTTATTTTCAGATGATATGGTCCTACATATAGAAAATTCCAAAGACTCAGCAAGAAAATTATTGGAAATCATTGAAAAGATTCAGAGTGGCTAGGGTGCAAGATCAACGTACAAAAATCAGTTGGATTCCTTTACACTAACAAAGATAGCTCAGAAAAGGAAACCAAGAAAACAATTCCATTTACAACAGTCACCCAAAAGGTGAAATACTTAGGAAATAAAAGATGTATACAAAGACAACTACAAAACACTACTACAAGAAACCAAAAAACACCTATGTAAGTGGAAAAATATACCATGCTCATGGATAGGAAGACTAACATTGTATCTGCTGCACAAGACCTTTTTAAAGTGTTGAAGAGCAAAAATGTCAGCTTGAAGACTAAGGTGCGCCCGACTCAAGCCATGGTATTTTCAATAATCTCATGCATGTGAACGCTGGACAGTGAATAAGGAAGACCATAGAAGAATCGATGCTTTTGAGTTATGGTGTTGGAGGAGAATATTGAAAGTGCCATGGGCTGCCAAAAGAACCAATAAATCCATTTTGGAAGAAGTGCAGCCAGAGTGCTCCTTGGAGGTCAAGATGGCCAAGCTTCATCTCTCACACTTTGGACATATTGTCAGGAGGGACCAGTTGCTGGAGAAGGATCTCATGTTTGGTAAGGTGGAGGGCCAGAAAAAAAGAGGAAGACCCCCAATGAGATGTATTGGCCAAGTGGCAGCATTGATGGACTCAAGCATGGCAGCAGTAGTGAGGTTGGCCCAGGATCAGGCAGTGTTTCGTTCTGCTGTGCATAAGGTCGCTATGAGTCGGTACCGACTCAACAATAACCCAAAGCGATCAATAGATATAATAGAATCCCAATCCACATTCCAGCATCATTCTTTAAAGATGTGGAAAAACTAAATCACCAACTTTATACGGAAAGGAAAGAGTCTCTGGATCAACAAAGCACTACTAGTGAAGAACAAAACAGGAGGCCTCTCACTCCCCATTCTCGAAACCTACTACACAGTAGTCAAAACAGCCTGATACTGGTACAATAATCACATAGACCAGTGGAATAGAATTGAGAACCTAGAAATAAGTCCATGCACCTATGGACAACTGGGAGTCATATGGCACTGTAGGATAAGCACTGGACTGCAAGGTGCATTTGAACTGTAAGGTTGTTGGTTCAAACTCACCAATCACTCCTCAGAAACCTTATACAAGCTTGCTGTGTGTTGGAACCAACTTGACCGCACTTAACAACAACGTGGACAATTTATCTTTGACAAGAAGTTCAAACACAGTAATGGGGAAGCGACAGTCTCTTTTAACAAATGGTGCTGGCAAAACTGGATCTCCATTTGCAGAAGAATGAAACGACCCATATCTTATACCATATACAAAAATGAAATCAAGGTGGAACAAAGACTTATATGTAAAACCTAAAACTATACAGATCATCAAAGAAAAGTAGCGACAAGCTTAGAGGCCCTGATACATGGCATAAATACACTCTCAAACATAACTGCAAACATACAAACAGCAGAACGAAAACTGGATGACTGGAACCTCACAAAAATTTGACAGAGGGTATTTGTACATGGGTACCGTGGCACTGTAGGATAAGCATTGGACTGTGAATCACAAGGTCAGCAGTTTGAACCCACCAGCCACCCTTGGAAACCCTGTATAGGGTAGCTATGGGTCAGAACTGACTCATAGGCACTTAACTGCAGCAGCATCACCAATTCACATCTGCTACAAATACATCCATGAATGTGGTGGAGCACACAGAGGACAAAGGTATGAAATCTTCTTAGCCATAACCAAATGCCTTGAGGCAATGAGTCACTGGGCTTGGGGGCTTAGGACCACAGTCTTGGGGGACAGCTATGTCAATTGGCCTAATACAGTTCACAAAGACAATGTTCTATATCCTGCTTTAGTAAGTAGTGACTGGGGTCTTTAAGATAGCAAGTGATACAAGGTGTAACTGTTGGTCTCTCCCCATCCAGAGCAAGGAAGAATAAAATCAAAGATGCATGGAAACAAATAGACCAAATGACAAATAGTGCCTGACTATCACTACCAACTACTCTACAAGGAATCACAATAGAAGGTCCTAAATAGAGAGAAGGGGGTGGGAGGGTGGGGAATGTGGAGCCATACTCAAGATCATAAAAAGACCAGGCTTACCGGTCTGATAGGGACAGGGGGAGCTTCTGAGACTATGACCTTAGTCACCCTTCAAATCTGGAAAGAAATTTACCCCTGGGTCTCAATTTTCAGCCAAACAATAGATAAGTATATAGGGGGACAACACCACCATAGAATGGTCAACCATTTGAGATCAAAAGGGCAGCATTTATCCAAGAAGGAGCTCTGGTAGCACAGTGGTTATGAATCATGCTGCTAACGTCATGGTCAACAGTTCGAAACTACCAGCCATTCGCGGGAGAAAGATGAGGCTTTCTGCTCCTATAAAGTTTTACAGCCTCGGAAACCCTGTACAGGGTAACTATGAGTCAACATATCACCTTATAGGAGTCCTGGTGTGGCGCTGTGGGTTAATGCCCCAGACTGCAAAGCCGTTTGCACTGTAAGCCATTTGCTTCAAGCTCACCAAGCCACTCCTTGGAAACCCTATACAGGGTCACTATGGGTCGGAATCGACTGGATGGCACTTAACAACAACAACAAGAAGTTCAGAAGGGTTGGGAAAGAAGGCGGAATGGAAACAGGAAACACAGGGAGGAAGTGGGATAAGTGATGTTACACTGAAGGGATTACAATGAAATGAAGTGTAGGATTTACTGAATGTAAAACTGATGATCTGCTCTGTAAACCTTCGCTCAAGTCACAATAAAAAGTAAAAAAAAAAACCCAAAACAACCCCCACCCCCACCCCAAACAAAAGAAAACTGGAGAAGTCATAGTCAATTTAGAGAATGTTATCTCTTCAGGAACTTCAGATATTTCCTTTAGTTTTGTATTCATGGTGTGGTACAGGACAATGCACTGGACCACAAGGTCGGTTTGAACTGTAAGGTCAGCAGTTCAAACCTACCAGTAGCTCCTCGGAAACCCGATACAGGGTTGCTGTGAGTCAGAACCGATTTGATGGCACTTAACAACAACAATATATTTCATGAAGAGTCCTGGTGTGACACTATAGGATAAGCACTGGACTACTAACCGAAAGGTCAATGATTCAACTCTACCACCTGCTCCTCAGAAATCCTAAACAGGGTCACTATGAGTAGAACCAACTCAACGGTGCTTAGAAGCAACAACAACATTTCATGAAGGAGCACTGGTGACACAGTGGTTAACTGAAGTGGTTAATGCTCAGTTGCTAACTGAAAGGTCAGTGGTTTGAACTCCCCAGCAGTTCCAAAGGCGAAAGTCGTGGTAGTCTGCTTCTGTAAAGATTTACAGCCTTGGAAACCCTGAGGGGCAGTTCTACTCTGTCCTACAAGGTTGTGATGATTGGAAAAAATTCAACGGCATTGGGGTGGGTTTCTATTTCAAGAGTCAGAAAAGCAAAAGCTATTATTACCCTGACCCACCACTCCCAAACACACATGCTGGTAAGCACGCCAAGGCACAGGAAAGCTAACTGATTTGTCAAGGGTCATTGGTCCCTTGATGGCAATTCCTATGTTTTTTGGCAATTGCTAGATTCTTCTTCTTAGGAGCCCTGGTGGCACAGTGGTTAAAGTGCTTGACTTCGCATCAAAAGGTTGGTGTTTTGAACCCAAAGGCCCACAGGCCACTCTTAGGGTGAAAACTGTGACAGTCTGGGCAGTTCTCCTCTGTTCTAGAGGGTTGTTATGATTTGGAGTTGATTCATAGGCATCTAACAAGAATTCCGACTCATAGCAACCTTATACAGGGTTTCCGAGGCTATAAATCTTACAGGAGCAGAAAACCTCATCTTTCTCCTGCAGAACCTGCTGGCAGTTTCCAACTGCTGACCATGAGATTAGCAGCCCGACTTGTAACCACTGTGCTACCAGAGCTCCTTACCGAAAAAGAATACAATCATCATATTACACTGGGAGGGAAGAAGCCTCCTCTGCTATTCTTGCAACCCAAGAAAGAAGGCACAGACTTCAAAAGGCAGCACACGCTACTGGCTGAGCAGAGAAGGGACAGGGACGCAGGACTCCTAACACTGCAGGGTCACACTGCCACCACCATCATCTGGCTTTCTGTAAAGTGCCCCCGGAAAGCCTCTGAAACAGTGTTTGCAACCACAGTCATAAACACATTTTACAGTGAGGCTCAGTACACAATGACAATGAAACACATATGTTTCCTTTGTGACATTTGGTATACTCTGACATTTTCTGTGCTTATTAACCCATCCTATTCGATTCTGTTTAATGCTATTTTCAAAAGTGTGGCTGGTGTTGAGTTAGTTCTGACTCAGGGAACGGCTGGTGGGTTTGAACTGCTGACCCTGTGGTAAGCAGCCCAGTGCTTACCCTACAGTGCCACAGCAGGACGGACTAAATGGATGTCACACCTTGCTAATGGATCTGGTTCTGCCACAAATGCTTACTCTTAGAAAATTCAAATTTTAGGGCCGACAACTGTCTGCCTTAGCTTTGCCAACAGTGCCATCTGCTGGCACTATCTAAGTAGTTTCAGGCATTTGTTTAAATATATTTGTCTTTAAAAGCTTAAGAAACATTGTTTTGCAGGTTTTCCTGAAAGCATTTAAAGAAAAGACCAAGCAGGTAAGGGTAGGGGAGAGAAAGAAAGAGTGCTGGGAGGGGTGTCAGGGGACTTTTCATCTCCCAAAGGAGGTAGCAGATAGTTTGCAGATGTTTCCTGACACTCCATTTCCTCTTCTCCCGGAAATCTTGCCCAGAGGGGCAGTTTCAGGAAGCTACAATGGTTCAAGCTTACCAGCTGCTCCTCGAGAACCCTATACAGGGTTGCTATGGGTCAGAACCGACTCGGCGCTTAACAACAATAACAACACCCATCAGTAACCCCAGGCCAAAGGTGGCAGCACTTACATCTCTGTGGAGATGAGGCTGGGCTCACTGCAGTACTCTGTATCTTCTGTTACTTTCACCTCATAGGTCTCGTTCTGAGAGACCTCCTCCTGACACACCATGGCTATCTGGCTCTCCCGGGAGCGGCACCTACATGTCCGAAATGGAGAGACAAATTAGAAACTGCAAATCCTCCTACCTGTCCCTCAGTAGGTACGCCCCCACCCCTTCACTCACACACCTCATCACCACTCAAACACACACACTCACAAACACACCCACAGCCCACTCATACACACAGACTCAAAACACACACCACTCACACACACCATTCATACACACATACAACACACCACTAAAACATACATATCACTCATACACCACTCACAAGCATGCTCACATTCATACACCACTGAAACACAAACTCACAAACACACACACCATTCACAGTCACAAATATAGTCACACACATCACTCATACACACACACTCACATACACAATCATCAGGAGGAAAGATGAGACACTTGTAGATGCATACTCACAATCACACACACACACATACAAACCCTCCCTACCCCCTTCCACTGTGGCTTCTTCCTCCTGCAATTGCTGATGAAGCCATGGAGCCATAGAAGGGAGAAGGTGAGAGTTCTATGTGGGAGAAGGCTGTCTAGGTTAGCGTCCAAGAAGCGCTGAGTTCTGACCCAATTCAGTGACTCTCTGGCTATATAGCTGTGTCCAAGTTGCTTAGCATACCCGTGCTTCATTTCCCTCTTCTGTAAAATTGGAATGGCATATGGCCTGCCTGATACAGGCTTGAGCGAGGAACAGAAGTCACAGATGAGATGGTGCTTAGGAGGAAGAACCCTGACTGTGTAGTACAGGGCAGGGTGAATCAGTGACAGGCCTGTCCCTTTCCTCTACTGTAGACAGCTAGGCCTGTGAGTGTTTGTTGGGCAGAGCTGAGCCATTTTTGGCATCATATTTTGATGTGCCTTTGAGTTTGACACTGGATCTTTGGAATAAAGGCACAGAAAAGCTGTTTCTCCTGAGCAGAGGGAAGTGAGCCTGAGTCCCTTTTGAACCTGAGTCCCTGCTGAGCCTGAGTCTCTCTTAAACCTGAGCCTGAGTTCCTGCTGAGCCTGAGTCTCTGTTGAGCCTGAGCCTGAGCCTGAGTTCCTGCTGAGCCTGAGTCTCTGTTGAGCCTGAGCCTGAGTTCCTGCTGAGCCCAGGATGTACCTGAGGCTACAATGCTTTTCCCACTCTGGGGCAGGGCTTCCTGCTCTCCTGCTTGTTTGCTCATATCTCCTTTAGCTCTGGTCTAAGTCTTCTCCCCTTTTCTGTCTGTGCTTAGCTCAGGACCTCCTGCCATCTCTCTTCCTATAGACTGCATGCTGGAGCTCATTCTATCCTCAGATCCATAAGGGTATCAGGGAAATACTGTAGTGGTTACTGATTGGGCTGCTAACCTCAAGGTCAGCAGTTTGAAACTACCAGATGTTCCATGGAAGAAAGAAGAGACTTTCTGCTCCCGTAAAGATTTACAGTCTCGGAAACCCTCCACAACACATCACCACGACTGTCTTGGGTTGAGTGCTGGAGGGTGCCTCTGGCTTTGACTCCGTGCCTGTGAGAAACTCAGCAAGGGTAGGGGCAGACGTCTTTGAGGATGCCCTACCAGATGACTGTCTATCCTACTATCAGGAGGAAAGATGAGATACAAAAGCTCGTGGTGGAGCAGGAGGACAGGGCTGTGAAAGGTGCTTTGGTGAGGCATGATGGGATGAGCTGGAGATGGAGAATGGCAGTAGGCAGGCAGCACCTCCTGTGGGGCTGACTGTGAGCAAATGTGCTGGCCCATTCCCAGCAGCAGCAATGCCAATGCTGGAGCCACGGCCCTTAGTCTATAGCTGCAGTCTGAAGGGAAAGGCCCCAGAGCTAGAACTTTGTTAAGTGTTTCCTCTTCACCAAATTGCAGCTTAGCACCCTGACTAACTGCCATGGGAAGGGGACCGACAGTTAGTGACACCTCCCAGGTACTAGGCATTTTGCTAGGAGCTTTGCATATATTACATTTCATCCATAGATAATATCGTGCAGAGGAAGAAAATCTCCTGATACCTTCTCTCACATAAAACCAAAAAACCAAACCAGTTGTTGAGGTGATTCTGACTCACGGTGACCTATGTATGTCACAGGAGGGGTTTCATATTTAATAAATATACCCTCTAAATGAGGTAGTTTAATTTACACTGAGCTGTTAATGAAGGACATAAAGAACCTTCCTTAAGAGTTTGATAAGACAAGCAGGGCAGAAAGTGGTAGTAGGAGGGTCCCAGAAGGTTGTAGAAGAAGAGAAAAAGGAGGACAGGCCACTTAAACTTTGATATTCTCCTATGCAAAGCTCAGTCAGTGTTGAACACAATGCCTTGCTCATAGAAGGCATCTCCGTATACACTTATTGAGTCAACGGGATCAGCCCAACATTTTGGTGTGTGGCCAAACCAGCCTGTCTTCCAGAGAGTGAGGTGGACGGATGGCCAATATGACTAGCCATGATCAGACACTGAACTATTCAGGTGGCATGGGCTTACATGTGATCACATGAAAACTGATGTAATGAAGGGACGTGACAAGTATGCTGGCTCTTTGGGTGGACACAACATCAGGCCATTTGTCCAGGGAATTAGAAAGAATTTGCACTTCGCCATGATCTGCTGATGTTGAGCTGAGGAAAGGGCCTGTTCAGTCTGCTCAAGAGGACAACCCTACTCCGGAAGAGCAGCGTAATTCAGGATGACAGGGCAAGATTCAGAGACTTATGTGTCCTCTCCCATCTCCCCTGAGGGAACCCAGAGCCACTGATGTAACAGGGACGAGACCCTGATGGCCCAGGCTATACTTCCTGAGGCCCAGAGCCTGAGAGGAAGCACGTACCATCCCAGCACATCACAGAGATGCACCCTGGAGAAAAGAGCAAATCATTCCACCAAACCACCAGGAATGATCCTACACAGGGGCAGAATGGGTAAGTGCTCCAGAGAAGGGCCACCTACAACCAAACTACCTCCCTTCCCAGGAGGTTATAAAGTGGTAACGCCATTCCATCCCAGCTGGGTGAAAGGTCACGTTTAGGCAGAGATTTGGAGAAGGGTGGGGGAATGGTTTCTGTTGTATGACAAGAATATAGACACCTCAGAGGGCCACAAGCCAGTGTTTCTTCCTCTAGAATGGAATGTGAGAGGAGCGAAGGCTCTGTGCAGAGGCGTGGCACCTCTGGACACTGCCAGCCAACGAGGCGATGCTGGCTTACCCTGACTGACCATAACCAAGAACAGAACTTGGAGGCAACACAGTGCCCACCTGCTTCTCTAGGCTCCAGGGCTGCAGCCTCCATCCCCAGCTCGAGGGGTGAGTGGTAGGTTTGGGGACCAAACTCTCCTCCACCCCATCTGCACTGGGCCAGAGTGTGGGAGGCCACTGTACATGGGCCCTGGGCTTCCCCACCCTCTTGCTTACCTCTTGGAGCTGAGCTTCCATGCTGAATCCTGCACCCGGATGGCAGGAGACAATGGGGGCCCATGGCCCTCCACGGTGCTGACCGTGCTGGGGTAGCCGGTGGGTCGGGGGAAGCGGCCCAGGGCAGTGTTGTTGGCATTGTTGATGTTGGCGTTGGAGCCAGTGGATGAGTAGCTGCTGGGAGTGAAAGTGGAGTCCACCAGTTTCTCGTGGGAAGGCGACTCGGTGTCGCCTTGGCTGTTACCCGCCTTGTTGATGTGCAGCGGGCGCTGGGTGGTGAAGGTCTGGGGGAAGGCGCTCCGGCCGTCACTTTGGTAGTAGCTGACGTGGTTGCCGAACAGGCCACCGGCCCTCTGCAGGCAAGATGGGATGGGGTGGGTGGAGGAGAACGCCCCCTTAGCTACCTCTCTTCTTCTGAGGGAGACACCTCCAATAGTCAGGATAGAGAAGTCTAGGGAATGGGAAGGTTGTCTGCCTGCCAGAGAGGCCCAGCCACGACAGAGGCCCTGCCTGCCAGAGAGGAAGCACATGGCAGATAGTGGAATTCTCCATCTGCATGGTCTGGCAGCCCAGGAGAGGAAGAGACCCAGACACTCAGGACATATGCCTCCCTTGAGACCACTGGGGGGATGTCGAGGGACAGGGCTACCGTATCTGCCAGGCAAGGAGGCTGCTGAGTGTAAGAGGTTCCTGGGAAGTCTCTAACGGACCCCTTGAAGACTGGAACTGAGTTTTAAGGATGAATCGAGGAGGGCAATTCTTAAGTGGTGCTAGGCCCTCTGTTTGGCAGAGAACACTAGGAAGGCTGAGGAGTGTACACAGCAACCTGAAGATCCCAACTAGAATTAAAAAATGGAGCTTCAACTGGCTCCCATAGCTTGAACTATGTCAACCAAACAGTCTGGAGCATAATTATGAAGTCTTTACTACATCAATTATATGATGGCCTCCTTTTCTGCAGGAGTGTCTTAACTCATTCAAACCAGAAACCAATGCTTCCCCCAACATTTTTTCCCTATGCCAGGCAAGTCTAATCCTTAACCTGAGAATGTCCCTGAGCTTTGATGAAGGAGCATTTTCAAACCAGACAAATGTAACTGTCTGGGGTCCTGTCCCGATGGCATGATCATGGTGCCAAGTCCTGGAGGCCATTTGGTGAAGAATCCTTGTGGTGATGAGGATGAGGATGAGAATGAGAGGACAGCATAGGTGGGATGGGGTTTATTTCATCTCCCTTGCTTTTCTGCAGCCTAAGAACCGAGCATGGGCTGTGTGCGGAGGGACAGGTGTAAACAGGACCCTGGTTCAAAGTAGTGTCTTCCTAGCTATACAGGGAATGTTTAATCAAATAGGCAGGGCGCATAAGTGAGTGTAGAGAGCATTCCAGCACTGTGGTCAGCCTCATGCTCTAGGAACGGAGAGCAGGAGCAGAGGTGCTCATGGGAACTGGGAGTGCATGCTCTGTCTCTAAAGGGCAACCATCAGTTGGTCCAACCCCATGTTACCAGATCTTCTGGTTTTGTTTTGTTTTTGTCATGAAAAAACCCAGAAATCTAGATTTTAATTTGAATGTGCCAGATTTTCGAATGCTGCCAACTGAACAGGTCTACAAATGTGACCCAGGGGCCACCACTTTGCCACTTCTAATACGAACATTTCTCCAAGGAAACGTAGTTCTAAGGAAGCTAGTGCCTTCCCTCCTCCACCAGCCAGTGTAGCACCAAGGCTGCCCCATCCTGGGAGTCCTGACTTGGGATGCAGTCAGTTTGGAAAGATGAAGGGATGCAGAGACCACTAAGACCCTGGACTCTGTCAGCACTCACGCCTTTTCTCCTTGAATTTCCTTGGCAGACTAGCCCACCCTGTTTTGTTTTCAAATGGAACCTCATAAAGGTAGGCATCCACCTACCCTGAAGATGTCATCTTCAGAGGCAGCAGATACGGCCTCTTTCATTGCCTTGTCCAACTCCTCCTCAGCTGTCAGATCTCCAGAGATGGCTCGTCGGATCTCAGGCCCAAGATCATGCAGCGTGCGCAGGCCCGCCTGGAATGCAGAGGGCAAGTAAACCCCGTGGTCCTTTCCACCATAGCGTCCAGCCAGCTATCACCTAGAGTCAGGGTCTACTTCTCCAGGAGCCTGATGCTCCTGGGCCCAGCCACCTGACTCAATTTCTCTGCAAGGAAGGAGTCTCAGGAAGGTGTTTCTGTGTATATGACCAGGCAAAGGGCTGCTCCGGAAATCCATTCATCCATGCAGGAGGAATAAAAGTCAAGATCCACGCATGTTCACACTAGGAGGAGCCACCAGGAATCAGGGGCTGCCGCATGAACCTCAGGAGAGCTTACAGAACTCTGGAGGGCCACCATGAAGGCAGACAGGACTGGGGAGGCAGTGGGTGTGTGAGTAGATGGCAGGAGGGAAAGGGGTATGCCATGCTCTCTTTCCATCCCGAAACCTTCAGAAAAGCTTGGCTTACTCAACAGAATCTGAATGCCCTGGAGATGCAGCCCCTCTTCTAGCACCTCACCTGTAGGGACAGGGTGTTCCTCTGGGAAGGCTTTCCTACAAGCCCCTGCTCTTTGCGCTTCTTGAACTTCCGGAAGTACTCTTGGATCAGGAAAGTGGCGTAAAACTTGCCAACGGTGACCTCATCATCTAAGATACAGGAAGAAAAGAAAGGGAATTAGGAAGGGAATGAAGTTTAACATCATTAATTTTTTTTTTTTTTGAAAAGGTGGTACAGTCACATCGTTCAGAAAGAGAACAACATATAAAAAGGTTTATGGTGAAAGGTCTTGCTCTTTCTTTCTAATTACTACCTCCGAACAGAGTACCGGTGTGGTGCTGTGGACTAATGCATCTGACTGCAAAGTTGTTTGAACTGCAAGATTGGTGGTTCAAGCTCACCAACTGTTCCTTGGAAACCCTATACAGGGTCATTATGGGTCGGAATCGACTCGATGGCACTTAACAACAACAACCATCCTCTTATATTAGTTTTATGAGTATTTATCCAGAGAGTCTTTGTGCAAGTACAAATATATTGTTGTTGTTAAGTGCCGTCGAGTCAATTCCGACCCATAATGACCCAGTATAGGGTTTCCAAGGAGCAGCTGGTGAGCTTGAACCACCGACCTTGCAGTTCAAACGACTTTGCAGTCTGATGCTTTAGTCCACAGTTCCACACCAGGACTCCACAAATTACTTCCCTCATTTTACAGCAAAGGTAGCATATTGTCAACATTGTTTTCACTTTGCTTTCTTCATTTACTTAACATTAGCTCTTGTTTGATTCCAAACCTTCAAATGCCCATCATAAATTGACCAGGTCCCCTAAGTGCAAATAGTTTTGCTTGAGTTAGAGGCAGGGGCTCATGGAATGAAGCACCTTCCTTTTGTGTGAATTTGAATTTTTTTTTTCAAACCAGATTATGTTTTCCTACCAGGTGGTTTGGCTGGGTCCTTGTTGAGCTGAGCACCCAAGCCTAGACATGACATACTTTGTCTCTGTCCCAGAAATGGACCAGATGGTGGAGAATCCAGTAAGTCTCCAAGGGGAACATTCCATGGCCAACAAGTAGCCCCTTTGCTATATCTCCTAGTTCTTTGCAAGGAGGTGATGGGTCTTGGAGACAACTGGCTGGGTTATACGTCGGGCTTGTGATGGTTCTCTTGACCCTATTTGTCCCTGAAAATGCCACATGCATGGCAGTAATGGCCCTTCCACCTTGTAAGACTATCACTGTGGGAGGGGAAAACCCCTGAATCCCTGACCCACCTCACTGAGGAGAAGGAACTACAGGGTAGAAAGAGCATGGAGTTCTGGAGTTGCTTAGACCTGGGCTACAGTTCTGAATCTGCTGTGTACTTGCTACATGACCTTAGATCAGTTACTTAGCTTCTAAGATTTTTAGTTCCTCAAGCAAATGTCATAGAATTGTAAGGGGTAAGTAAAACAATGCACAGAAGCACTGAGTGGTACAGTTCCAGGACCTCATTATTCCTAAAGCAGTCAGCCCAGTGGTTTGCAGGGAAACTTAGACTTTGTGGCATTTTCTTGGAAGTTCTGCCCAACACCTAAGCATCAAGGGGACTTGCCTGACTCCATCTGTACAATGCAGGGTTGGGCCACATTTCCAACCTGATAGTCTGAGTTTGAGAAAGCCATGATACCTAGTGCCTTGTAACAAATAAGTCCTTTGAACCCCACAGGAAGGGTCTGGAGAAAGCAGTCCCCAGAAAACCCATAGGACTCAAACATAGAAGTCTCAGGGGTATTTCCACATTTCTAATGGTACCACACAGCTGTATAAAAGGATGGGCAGAGAAAGTGTGCGTGCTGTAAAAGTGGCAAGAGTGTGGAAATGTACGGAGTACTTACCACCTGCAGGGGGCACCACCTGGTCTAGTAGCTTCATGCTGGTCCGCTTCCAGATCTTCTTGATTATTGCACGTAACTCCTCATTGGCTTGCTCTAGGTTCCCTGAAGGATGGGAGATGCAAAGGTGAAAATGATCATCAGCTCCTTGGAAGGGCTCCTAGGGAGCTGGTTCCTCTGAATACAATGGAAAGTCATGCTGAGGGCACTTTGCCCCACAAATACTCTTAATTGGTCAGTTTCATTTTCTTTCTTTCCTCTCTTCCATCCAGCTTTTCCAACTTTTCTATCTCCTTCCTCTTTACACCTGTTTTATTTCCTTTCCCGTTCCCTTCTATCCCTGTCCTATTCCATTTCTTTCCCCTCTCTTCTGCCTGTTGCATTCTGACACATCCACCTGCATCGCTTTCCCTCCTTGAGAGACTATGGAAGCCTGGGTTGAGCTGCAGGCTCTTGGGCAGCTTCACTCATGCCCACTCACTCATCCACTGGATCTGAATCAGAGTGACTTCAGGGCTTCTGAGGAGTGGCTGGTGGGTTTGAACCGCCAACCCTGAGGTTAGCTGTCCAGTGCCTATCCTATAGCATCACACCAGGATTTCATTTAAGTGACACAAATCAAAACTACAATGAGATACCATCATTTCACCCAACATTAATAGCAAAGTTAAAAAAAACAACAACAACAGCAAAAGCTGGCAAGGATGTGGAGAGATTGGAGCCCTTACACACTGCTGGTGGGATTGTGAAATGGTATAACCACTGTGGAAAACAGTATGATGCTTCCTTAAAGAGTTGGAAATAGAAATATGGTATGATACAGCAATCCCGCTACTAAGCATAGATCCTAGAGAACAAAGAGCTGTGACTCGAATAGATATACCCACACCCATGGACATCACAGCACTATTCATAAAAGCAAACAGATAGAAACAACCTAAGTGCCCATCCATGGAATAATGGATAAACACACTATGGTACATACACAACAGACTACTATGGAACGTTAAAGAATAATGGTGAATCTTTGAAGCACCTCATAACATGGATGAACCTGAAGGTATATCATAAAATGACAAATAGTGTCTGAGACCACTATTACACAAAGTCAAGAAAAGGTTTTCACACAAAAAGCAACATTCTTTAACGGTCACCAGGGGTGAAAGGGTAAGGAAGGGTAAAACACTTGTTAGAGGACACATATTAACTTGTGTATTGCTGTAATTCTGGAAGCTCTGCCACTGGTATTTTAAATACCAACAGGGTCACCCATGGTGGATAGATTTCAGCTGAGCTTCCAGACTAAGACAGACAGGAAGAAGGAGAGTGTTTAGTCACAGAAAACCTTAATAGCAAAGGAATATTGGGAGATACGTTATTTTTAAGTGCCATTGAGTCAGTTCCAAATCATAGCAACCCTGTATAGGGTTTCCAAGGAGCAGCTGGTGAATTTGAACCGCTGACCTTGTGGTTTGCAGTCTAGTGCTGATCCTACAGTGCCAAACTAGAAAATTAAAGCATTATGAATAGCACCAAAATATTGTCAGATATAGTGCTGGAAGATGAGCCCCTCAGGTTGGAAGGCACTCAAAATACAACTGAGGAAGAGCTGCCTGCTCAAAGTAGACTTGATCACAATGATGTGAATAGAGTAAAGCTTTTGGGACCTTCATTTGCTGATGGGGCACAACTCCAAGTGAGGAGAAACAGTTTCAAACATCCATTAACAATCGGAATGTTGAAAATACCAAGTATGAATCTAGGATAATTGGAAATTGTCAAAACCAAAATGGAATGACTAAAGACGATACCCTAGGCATTGTTGTTGTTGGTAAGTGCTATTGAGTCGGTGTCAATTCATAGCAACCCTGTATAGGGTTTCCAGGGAGCAGCCGGTGGGTTTGAACCATTGATCTTGAAGTTCAACTCATTATAAACCATATGATTGTCTGATTCAAAATGACTAATACTTGTCTATTTCAGTTCATTCTAGGTATTAGTGAGCTGAAATAGACAGGTATTGGCCATTTTGAATCAGAAAAGCATATGATTTACTACGTTAGGAATGACAAATTCAAGAGAATTGTAGCGACATTCATTACCAAAAAGAACATTTCAAGATCTATCTTGAAATACAATACTGTCTGTGATAGGATAATATGCATATGCCTATAAGAAAGCCTGGACTCCTGATGTGGCACTGTAGGATCAGCACTAGACTGCAAAACACAAGGTAGCCAGTTCAAACCCACCAGCTGTTCCTCAAAACTCTATACAGGGTCTTCATGAATGGGAACCAACTCAACAGCACTTTTAGTCTAGTTAATACCACTATTATTAAAATTTATTCACCAATCACTAAAGCCAGTGATAATGAAATTGAAGAATTCTGCAAACTTCTGCAATCTGAAATTGATCAAACATGCAATGAAGATGTTTTGATAATTATATGGAGATTGGAATGTTAAGTTTGGAGACAAAGAGGAAGGATCAATAGTTGGGAAATATGGCCTGTGATAGACATGATGCTGGAGATCACATGATAGAATTGGGCACGACCAATGACTTATTCATTGCAAATAACTTTTACATAACAGGCGATTATATATATGGAGCTCATCAGATGGAATACACAGGAATCAAATTGACTACATCTGTAGGAAGAGACGGTGGAAAAGCTCAATATCATCAGCCAAAACAAGGCCAGGGGCAGACTGTGGAATAGACCATCAGTTGCTCATATGCAAGTTCAGGCTGAAGCTGAAGAAAATGAAAATAAGTCCATGAGAACCAAGACCTTAAACATAGCCCACCTGAATTTAGACCTCATCTCAAGAACAGATTTGATACATTAGTCACTAATGACTGAAGACTAGAAGAGCTGTGGGATGACATCAAGCACATCATACAGGAAGAAAGCAAAAGGTCATTAAGAAGACAGGAAAGAAAGAAAGGACCAAAATGGATGTCAGAAGAAACTCTGAAATTTGTTAATGAGCATAGAAAAGCTAAAGTTAATGGAAGAAATGAAGAAGTTAGAGTTGAACAGAAAATTTCAAAGGGCAGCTACAGAAGACAAAATCAAGTATCATAATGAAATGTGCAAAGACCTGGAGTTAGAAAACCAAACGGGATGAACATGCTCAGCATTTCTCAAGCTGAAAGAACTGAAGAAAAAAAATAAAAGTTCGACTAGCAATACTGAAGGACTCTGTGAGCAAAATGCTTAATGATGCAGAAATCATCAAAAGAAGATGGAAGGAATACATGGAGTCACTGTGCCAAAACAGAAATGGCCAATGTGCAATCATTTCAAGAGGTTGCATATGATCAAGAACTGATGGACGAAGTCCAAGCAGCATTGAAGGTATAGGCAAAAAACAAGACTCCAGGAATTGACGGAATACAAATTGAACTCTTTCAACAAACTGAAACAGCTACCTGGCCAACTGATTGGAAGAGATCCATATCTGTGCCCATTCCAAAGAGAGGTGGCCAAGTGGAATGCCAAAATCATCAAATAAAATCATTAATATCATTTAATATGCAAGTAAAATTTTGTTGAAGATAATTCAAAAACGGCTGCAACAGTACATCAACAAGAACTGTTAGAAATTAAAGCCAAATTCAGAAGAGGACATGGAACTAGGGATATCATTACTGATGTCAGAGGGACCTTGGCTGAAAGCAAGTAATACCAGAAATATGTTTACCTGTGCTTTATTGACGATGCAAAAGTTCTTGACTGTGTGGCTAATGACAAACTATAAGTAACATTGCAAGGAATGGGTATTTCAGAACACTTAGTTGTGTTCATGAGGAATCTATACATAGACCAAGAGGCAGTTGCTAGAATAGAACAAGGGATCACTAAATGGTTTAAAACCAGGAAAGGTGTGCACCAGGGCTGTATTTTTTCACCATACTTATTCAATCTGTATATTCAGCAAAAAATCTGAAAAGCTGGATTATAGGAAGAAGAGCACGGCATCAGGATTGGAGGAAGACTCATTAATATGCAGACAATACAACTTGGTTTGCTGAAAGTGAAGAGGACTTGAAATATTTACTGATGAACATCAAAGACCACAACATTTGGTCTGGATTGCACCTCAATGTAAATAAGACAAAAATCCTCACAACATGACCAACAAATAATATCATGTTGTCAAAGATTAAAGTTGTCAAAGACTTCATTTTGCTTTGATCTACAATCAACGCTCATTGACTCAACACTCAGGAAATCAAATTATGTATTATTGCATTAGACAAATCTGCTGCACAAGACTTCTCTAAAGTGTTCAAGGGAAAAGCTGTCAGTTTGAGGACTAGGGTGTGCCTGACCGAAGCCATGGTATTTTCAATTACCTAAAATGCATATGAAAGTTAGACAGTGAATAAGGAAGACCATAGAAGAATTGATGCATTTGAGTTATGATGTTGGAGAAGATTATTGAAAGTACCATGGACAGCCAGAAGAACCAACTAATCTGGGTTGGAAGAAGTACAGCCAGAGTGCTCCTTAGAAGCCAGGATGATTGATATCTATCTCTCATACTTTGGCCATGTTTGTCAGGATGGACCAGTCCCTGGAGAAGGGCATTATGCTCGGTAAAGTGGAGGGTCATTGAAAAAGACTAAGACCCTCAACGAGATGTACTGGGAGAGTGGCAGCAGCAATTGACTCAATAGTAACAATAATTGGGGGGATAATGCAGGACCGGGCAGTGTTTCGTTCTGTTGTGCATAGGGCCACTATGAGCTGGAGTTAACTCAGTGTCACCTAACAATGGCAAAAGGGGAAGGAAATATATAATAAAAGGGTGGTCAGCGAAAAGTGATGAAGGCAAAGGAAAACACTAGGAGGTGTACAAGAGTTAAAGACAATAGAGGTAAAAACTAGCATGTACATAATTCTATAAAAGAATAGTCTACAGTTGGAGGCATAGATAGACATGCAAGTTGAACAGGTGTCGGACTGAGAATGGGATTATACGCAGGAAGAGATAAGAGATCTGACAAAGGATATTCCTTTACCCAAGTCACACGCTTCAAATGGATCCATGAATATAATAGAGTATTATTGTTGTTAAGTACTCGCCAGT